AGATCTAGTGCCATTTAGCACTAGATCTAGTACTTTTTCGGATTAGTGCTACTAGCACTAACCACTCGCACTACGCCCATTTTGACACATTTACATACATGTTATAGCCAGAAAAGACAGATTTAGACAGAGATTTACCCAACAATACAAGATATTGATATTTATTATATTAATCCAGCGAGTACCACTACCAAAACATTTTCTAACCAAATCAAGAGTTACAGATCTACATTTCAATGTTTATTTATCCTACTCAATGCAGTGACAGTGTTAGTGTAAAGATCAATAAGAGATGCAACATTTGAAACATGAGGGAGGACGCTACCTCTCCAAGTTTCTTATGGTCTATCCTTAACAGAGAATTTGGTAACAAAAAAAGCAATTTCAGTGACTATTTTAATAGCATGTATTGATGGAATGTCAAATAGTTCAGCAATATTAAAAGATTTTTCTGGGCCCAACTGGTTAGCAAAGCAATTACTGAGAAGCAAAATTCTACATATCTATACACTAAAATACTTAGGACAGAGAGGAATAAACACCGTCAACATCTACATTTGTATCTAGTGGTCAAAGTACACATGCTGAATTGGTCTGAATTTCTAAGCAGTTAAAGGGTATATATGTGCAATCTCACCTTTAGCAGGGGCACCTTGTTGAGACGAGGATGAAGACGAAGACTGCGATGACATCAATGACTGTTGTATGTTGAGTACAGTGAGGGCATAATGTGGAGGTAGAGAAGATTTACACAGTGACGTGATGAATGCATCTCTTGGTACGTTCAAATTCAGTTTACCGCATAGACTGGCATAAACTTGCATGGATTTCAGTATGGATTCTGTTGCTGTCTCATCGGTACTGACAAAATAAAGCACAACTCATAGTACAAATTCATACACACATAATATACAGCAACAAAATGTGATTAGTTTTTACTTACATCATACAAATTTTCTATCCCGAGAACACAATGTTTAGTCACACTTTATATTGCATGCTCACATTTTGCCACTGAGGGTGCTGTTTCTAGGTGTACTGTAAAATACTTTATTTTCGCTTGGAATTAATTTTCGATATTTTCACTGAAGGAATAATTCAGTGTAAATAAAATCTAGCGAATATACCTTATTTTCTATATTTTACATTCAACTCGTGCAAAATCAGTGAAAATAAATTCCATACGAAACACCCCAAAAGTCTTTTCAGTGAAAATTGATTCCAGCTAAACTAAAGTATTTTACAGTAATTAGTTTTTACTTATTATATCACACATATGCTCTTACGAAAACAACGATTAGTCACACTTTTTGCCAGGCTGTTCAAAAACTTTACATCATCGATCAACAAGGTTATGTAACAGTTGAAAAGTTTCCTATCAAACATGATCTACCAGTAATCAAAAACAGAGTGCCCTCGGTGTTGAACTCATAGTTTAATGCTCTCATAATATAATTTAATGCTACACTAAACTGAAGCAACAAACAAGATTCAGACTTTCAATGTCATTAAAAGTGAAGACTGGGCAAACAACATAATGCTCCCAAAGCTCCACAAATATAGGAGAATGCACTTTGTTGAATATCTAGATAATGAAAAACGATAAAAAACGTAAATTGCATTTTCCTACATTTGTCGATCTTTTTATCTGAGAGCGTTATTCTGTTTGCCTAGTCTTCTTCTTCAAAGCTAATCACAATGACTTATATTTACCTGGCATCTAGTAGTAATGACAATGATGCTAAGATACCACACCAAGAGGAGTTGACTAGACACTCCCATAAATTCCGTAGTTCTGTAAGGCAAACACATCATAAGTATGGGTTATGTTTATACACTTGATATTGCATGTGTATAAACTTGCAACTTTGGTGAAACTTTTTTTTACTAATCTGACTAAAATAAGAACCGTTTTTTTTTTTTTTTTTTTTTTTTTACTTTTTTCTTCTTTTAATTTTTTTTTGTATGTTTATTTCAATTTTATTTTATTTTATTTAGATCTATTTTTCATTTTTCAAAGTTTTGCTAATCGCGAAGGCCAATAGTTGAAAGAAATATCAAATAATAAGTATGTAACAAAAACATAAAAAATAATAAAAAATTTAATAAAAATAAAATAAAAAAAACACGCCGTACAAAACATTTTTTAGATTTCAATCAGACTGGTTCTTTTCCTGGTGGATTTTATCAACTAAAAGACAGACACCTTTAATTATAAAATGGCAAACCTTTTTTATGGAATAAACAGAGATAAGAGAGTGGAACCTACAGCTCTGGTTCCAACCACGACATTTCTGGTGACTGGGTCTAAGTAACATTCCACAACTTACCTGGAGCAATGTCTTCCCCAATAATGGCATCAACTGTCTTACTATTGCCATTTGGTGTCGGCATTTCTTCTTTTTCTTGTTCTATTTCCAGTTCAGTCGTAATAACAGTAGAGACACCTTTTACAATATCTAACAGAGTGTTGAATGCGACGGACATAGCATAGCCATCCTGTATCGTACATGTCGGTGGATCTGTCTTTTCTAACATTTCTAAACTACAAGTGACAGAAAACATATACTGTTGTTTTAATTTAGCGTATTCATCAAAATGTTGACTATATTGTTCAATAGTGAACAAATTTAGTAAAATTAACTAGTGGTACATAAACCCTTCAACATATACCGTAGGCACAACTCATGCTTGAAGGCACCATACATGTATAAGGATGGTACTTACTACATAGGTTTGGTAGAAGATGATGGTGAAACCTGTACCAATGGTATCCATATACCGCGATATACAAAAGCAGGTTGTGGTGTTACGCCTCCACCCACTGGTAAATTACCAACCATTGCTGGGGCTGTACTACCAGGATGTTGGGTCTGTCCAGCTAATAAGATTGAAATTAACATTACAGCAGACTGACTTTATAAACATGGTGGGTGTAGTATATATATTGAGACAGGCTACGATGGACTAAGACCCTTGGCAAATATTTATTCCTAACCCTTTCAAGTATGTCACATTTTTTTCTTCTTTTTTTTAAAATTGTAACTGATAATAAATTTTTTTCAATGGATTCAATAATTAATGCAGAAATGAAATACATAAAAATGTTGAAATCAAGAGTGCCAAAGTCGAAACAAATACTGCAGGAAATGTTCTGAAGAAAACTGATAGAGAAGTAGTTTTCTTGATCAGTTAATTAATTAGTGCCCGATGTAAGATGTCCATGGTTCACTGATAGTAGTAATACATACATGTACACTGTATCACTTTTATTAAATGTGAATCAATATTTCACATGTTTTGACATACAAGGACTGAGTTACTGTAATTTGAACACAATACAGTTTTTTGATTCATGTGTACCGGTACTTCTATTAGATGATCACAGCAGTCTTCAAGCACATGTCATCTTGCTCAAAGGTTTACTTCTAACATAAGATCTATGCTATAATAAAGTAGGACTTCAATGAATCCAGCAGGGCAGGTTTAGTTGTACTTACTGCTTGTACTAGTAGCCCTTTCTGGCATGGGTGTTACAAATAAAGACTGTATAAAGGATCCTAAACCATTGACAATATCACGGAATACTTTGGAAGAATGTTCCTTCATATCATAATTCTCACAGAATGATCTGGAAACAAATACAATTTTACTCATTTATAGCGAAGTTAGTTAGTTATCAAATTTAAGATATATGTCAAAAGTACGGATCCAGAGAATGATGCTTAATTATGATGATTTTTTAACATTAAACTGATTGTCATCTTGTATCTGATCTTCAAATGAGTACTTGTCCATATTGAGAAATATTGCTCTGAAACAGCATTAATTAAAACAAAATGGCACACCAGTCAGCCATTTTAATTACATCTATATCTATAAAATAATGTAAAATGAATATATAAAATTTGATCATAATCAGTCAAAGCATGGCAGAGATATGGCATTTTGAATTTTATCTGAAAACAAAATGATGTGCATCAATGTCCTATAATGTCCAACGTATATACCAAGTTTGAACAAAATCAATCTGTAAACAGCCGAGAAATGCTTGATTTTGATGATTTTTAGAACAAAAATGGCTGCCATTTGGCCATTTTGAATCAGATCGTGAAACAAATTGATGTGCATATGTATAATATCATGTATGATGTATGTGTTATGTTTGATTGTGATTGGTCCAGGCATTTTTAAGATACAGGTCCGGACGCACGCACGCACTGACACACGGACGCACAGAGGTCAAAACATAAGTCCCCGTTTTCGGAGTGCGTCCGAGCGGGGACTAACAAACATGGCAGGCCTCAGAGTTGAATCGGACTCCACACGAATAAGTTTGCTAAATTTGTTCTCAACGTTTTGGATTTCTGCATTCCCATGATGTATCATCTGGAGGAAAAGATGTATAATAATAAGGTTATACTAGGACACCTAAAGTATGCATGAAGACAGTACGCCGTCGCATCAACCTCTAGCTGCTGCGCATTGGTTGATACTCCTGCTGTACTGTCTTCATGCATTTTTTTCGATATCCTTATAATAACCCCATAGTATTTAACACCAACCTCAGCAGTTGTGGATGCACACATAACCTATGTAAGACTTCCATTGCCAAAGCTCTCTGCCACATGGGCTTATCACCATCCAGAAATTTTACCAGCAACGACAGAAAAATCTCACACTCAGTAGTCTGAAAAAAACAAAACACCAAATCTTGTACATTGGTTGTAATACGATTGAGCATAATAACAACAAAATCCCATTACATAACAGTAGCTAAAATAATGTGCAACATGTGACCAGCAAGCATTTGAGACACAACAGTGGCATCCTATACTGATTTATCTACACACTACAGTACAAGCCAATGTGTCAAGTAAGCATTGCTTAGTACTCAGGTAACTTTATGGTTGGGCTTTGCATGTCATTTTAAAAGAAACCAAGATCATGGGCAATTATGGATTATGCAGTAGGAATGATTCAATATTCAATAGCCAACAGCTTTTAGTTAGCACCCCTCTTAAAAAAAACAATAAAACATATACTGCACTTCTTACAGAATTAAATACTAATTTTTAAAGAAGTTAATTTTTTTTTTGCATTTTTTCACATAAATACTGACATAAAGTTCATTTCATTACAAACAATCTAAATATACATCTTGGTACCTTGAAATGACTAGCTACAAAACCCATATAAAGTTACAGCAGCTTGCATTTGAGTAACTATAGTAAAGATCTGCTTGCATATAATACAGTGAAGACAGCTTACATCAAACGAAACAAACAAAGCACATTCACATTGAACAATATCCCAATGAACACATTAACTACATACCAACTCCTTTGTCTATATCCATCCAGCAGTTTCAGAAAAGCCAAAAACGTGTTCATCATTAGTAACTACTCAATTTGAATATGTTAATGAGGCTTACATCACAGTCTTAGTGCACCTAAGTTATTTGTCAGTAGTTTAATTAAACACAAGTGAGTGTATGATTACTTAATTCTAAAATTGCCATAATATGTAAATACTACACAATGTTTTTGTTTTTGTTGGCATGCAAATGAGTGGAGAAAGCATTGATGACAACACATCTGATATTAACTTTAGAAAAACCTAAGTAAAACATCTTGATTTGATTACCCACCTTAACAAAAGTCTAGTGCTACTTTACTTTATATGCCCCTCCATAAAAATAAATGGCAGTTTACATAGTAAAGATGTACCTACCTATTAGGGATATAATATGGACTCAGACCTGCCTGTATAATTTTTTAAAGATATATAATGTATATCTGCACCCCTTCGCCAGTGGGCCAACCCACCAACCAAAATTCTCTTTTGCACACAACCATGAAAATACCACATGGCATGGATATGAATTTAATACTATGTAAACAACCATTTTACTTTCAACAGAGGTAATTTTACTAAAAACATAGGCATACTTATATTGGTGCACTTAAGTCAATGGTCCTACCAGATCAAGGTAGAGTCTGGGAGACCTTTTTCAATTTCTCCCTAATATGGTAGAAGTATGTCTATACATACACATGTATAGTAAACACTAACACACATGGATAGCACGACAGCAACTACAACATTATCTGCACATCAAAGATTGTGGGCTTAAGCATAATCTACAAGCAATGTGAGTAAAAAAAGAATGTGCCACATGGCACGAATTCGATAGTACTTTTAATCACAGGGAATAATTTACTGGTATACAAACAAGAAACATTGATGTGCTGTGATAATTAACTAGTAATTGCAGCTAGACACGTAAAACTATAACATCATGTTATCAGACTTACCAGAATGTTATAGTACTTCTGTAACAACACGCTGACAACTCGTAGCAATCTCATTGATATTGGGAAGTATGGTTTCTCAACTGGACTTGGAGATGTCGGTGCAGCTATACCATGTTTATATTTAATACTTGGAGAGAATAATTTGATTACCAATGGACAAACCCTTTCCTTCAATAAGAAGCTGAACTCTGTGTGCTGGTAGAGACAAAAAAATTACACAAAGCAATGATTTAGTTATTCATCTTTCTCTAGAACCAATACCCATAAATTATAAGTTTCAGAAAACACTGCAACCAATTATATCAACTTAAATCACAACCAAGCTGGGCCTCTACTAAGCATAAAATAGGTACAGCAGTGTAGGATAATACTACCGTGGTTCTTTATTATAAAGTTGTTTTATAGCCACTTTGCAAATATAAGAGGATAACATACACAAAACTTTTCCAGATTTATGTAACAAATTGAACTATTCTACTGTACCATAAGCTTTCTATTAAAGGATGCTGTACACGTTTTTGGTATTGATTTTCTAAACTGATATTTTCATATAAAATATTTACTGAACAACACAAAGCTATATATTGATGGAAAGCTTATTTCACACTGGATATGAAATCGACAAGATAGTGTGTGTATGGACGTGTATAGTCACGTGATCTCTGTGTAAACACAGAAAGCCATTTTTGGTAAAAAATAATTGAACCAATGAATAAACAAATTTAGTGGAACATTGGCAACAAAACAGTTTTTCAGACGACGCTCACCACCATTCCCTGTTAATTGAGATATATATCTACATGATAGTTGGAGAAGAAATAATAATTTAGCTATCTTGAAAAAACAATG